CGACCCGACCCGACCCGTTGACATGTTGCGTTTGCAAAGCAAATTTACACGCGCTCCACGGCTGGTCGCTTTCGATGTTCGGGTCTGAATGCGCTGTAGTGAGGGAGCTGCTTATGTGGTCTTCTGTCTTGCCATGCAGGACAGGGAGCTAAGAAAGGGGGTCTGCTTTGGGTGGCATGAGCTTTCCTACCTAAAAGGTACCGAGGTCCTTCCCTAGTGTGCCCAATCTTTGGCTCATGCGCCGCGCTACTGCCGGTGGGGCACAAACGAGGCTACTGTAGGCACGCAGCGCACCTCTATTCTCATCTAGACACTCTTTGACTGCAAAGTACCGGTGCTCCCCTGTTGCAGCATCAAGTCACGCTCGGGCTCACACGACCTGCTCATCTTGCCCGCAATGCCTCAGACCTCGCCCATGCTCTTTCTTATCAGCTCACTTGTGATTCTGCCAACATTCGTAACTGCCTTATAAGGCATTGCACTCGACTCTTGCATCCGTTCTTCTCGCGCATACGACGCAAACACCAGGTCAGCTTGGGCTTTGGCTCGCATCATTCTCATTACTCTTCATAGACGCTCACATTTCTATGCCGCGCTACCATTCCCTCTTTACACAACACGCGCGACTTCATACTCACCAATCTTCGAATCCAGACACGAAGCTCTTCGACTCGATCTCGAGCAAGTGCCAGTGAAGTTTTTCTCTGCAGCATGTCCGAGCCTCTCGCTCCGACGGCCGAGAACGGCATCGCCTCTACTCGCGCTTCCCACGAGATGGGCCCTGCCACGTCGGAATCACTCAACTCGGGAGGGGAAAAGGTGGCGTCTACCGATGAGAAGAAGAAGAGCAGTGGCAATCGGAGACTGTTGAAGGGCTTTGGAGGTGCAAACGATGTGGAAGAGACGGTGGAAGACTTGGAGGATTATCAGAAGCGAGCTGCTGAGGGTCACGAAAAGTTTCACAGGCTGAGCTGGCAGAGGTTAACGATTTGCTTGATCGTCGAAGCTATTGCTCTCGGAGCTTTGTCGATGCCTAGCAACTTTAGCACCCTTGGCATGGTACCTGGAGTCATATGCACAGTCTTCTTGGGCGTGCTCGCCACACACGGCAGCCTGTTCTTGGGAGAGATCTGCTTGAAGTTCAAGAGCGCCACCCATTACGACGAGGTCGTGAGGCTCATGTTT